CCGTTGTCTAGGCATAAAACAATATCTATTTAATTTTAATTGTAATTACATTGAAATTAATTGTCAGAATCTAGATGCTCTGGGACCAAATTAACCCGAATGCCATTATCCGAGTGTTAAACCAGCGCAGGAGAACTAGAAAAGAAAACATGCAAAAGTGAAAGCTAGAGCACTGGAACAATGAAATTAAAGTAATATTGTACTGCATCGAAAACAATAGGTTCTAAACTTGATTCAGGAACAAAGACTGACACTCTCGTAAACTTTGTTTCCGATTATCAATTTATTGCTTTGTGTACAAACATGGACTAATTTGTGGAGCTTTATAAAAACTTATATCTACTATTAGATAAAGTTTTATTCATAACATTAACCCTCACGTTTTCAAGAAACGATTCAACGCAAATTTGCAAATAAGACGAAGGTTGAGCTGTAATAAAACAAAAATGTTGATACGAAATTGGTTTGTACAGTTTTATCACAACAATGGTGATTGTCATTAAAGATTCGTTTTTCGGTCACATCGAGAGCAGTCTCCATGAGAGTTAATAGTTCCATCACTTATACTAAATTAATAATAATAATACAAAATTGCATTGAGTCCTACCAGTGATCGAAATTTTCGTTTTCAAAGAAATCCTGCTCGAACTCGTATGAAGAAACTCAAACTAGTTTCAAACGATGAATGATTTACGTAAATATTACAGATTAATGACATATTAACCAATTTAAGCCACAGTGCTATTTATGGAATAATATTCAGTGTTTACCACAATGATCGTAACGCTTCCTAATACTAATAAATCAAACATCCCCCTACTTTTTGCATCTTATGAGTCTCAAAAATTCTAAACGTTTTAAAAGTTACAGTATGGAAATTGTATTTATGACATTGATTGCCAAATCAGCGGAAAAGATAAAGCACATAATTTAGTTAACGAATACAGATCTGACAATATAAAATTGATTACAATGATTGCTCCTTTAATCCTCCTTGAATTCTAATAAAAATTGATTTCTGTTCAACACGGTGCAGCAAAAATTGGTGGATAAAGTATTAATAATTTTACTGACTGAACGAGGCAAAATGTAAAAGTTACTTTGAGTCTATAATTGTTCACACCTTTATACTTACTAGATTATACATATACGAAGTCGTCGTCGCGAGTTTGACCGGTCGCAACAGTACAAAAGGTTAAATGGAACCTACTAAAAAGTTCCACAACTCTTTAAATTCCCGATTTCTATAGAATTGCCGTGCATTGCTGTTAAGTTACCGTGAGCTCTTAACGCATAGAGATCTGTATCATGCTTGTACAGCCTTTGGACTGTTAAGAGACGTCCGATACGGCGGGCCATTTAATCAAAGTTTCGCTTTTAGCGTATACCGTGCGCAAACCATCGCGTTACAGGCTTTGTTAATACATAACGTCAAGGGACAAACAGATCTGACCGAGATTTTCGAGTTCAGCTGTCCCAAACGCATGGGCGGTCCGCGTACGGCTACTAGATGCCGTCCCATGGCCAGCCATAATTTCCCGAGTCAAGAAAAGTTGGCTCGTTTCACTCGATTAATTCTCATTTCTCGCGTGTGCTCGTTAAACTCGGTGAAATATGTGCAACGTGTTTCCCACCGGTCAGGCAACCGAACTATCAAAGACTTTCCAATTAACTCGGCTGACATTAACGTGCGACCCGAACAATATGAATCGCCACTCGGTATTAAAGCGTCATTCGAGGTCAGACCTCGGAGCTCATCGTTCACGTGACGGGTTGATGTCACCGGTTTTAATAAAGCGACAAGTATACCAAGGTTTTACTCCCTACCGATTGTTATATTTACATTGAATTAGTGTCCGGCTAATTGAATGATCGGGGCAAATTACTTCGAGATGGTAGATCAGGCTTGGCTGTGTTCAAAATAATCGAGTTTCGTTTTATATAAGAATTTCACATTATAAAATTCATCATTATGCAGAACATATTCGCCTACTTTAGAACAAGTTCTCCCTTTCGAAGATTATATTTCACCTTTTTCAAAACGTATTCATCCCTCTGTAGATCAAATTCACCTTTTCTTAAAACAAAGCTGTCCTTTGCGGAATCAAATCAATTTTTTCCAATCAAATTCACTTTCATTCGCAGATTAAATTACTCCTCTGAGAATCAAGTTTTTCTACTTTGATCTTTTTAAAGTATGAAAAAGGCGAATATGACTTGCAAAAGAACAAAGACTTGAAGCAAGGTAAATATGACTTTCAAAAGGATGAATTTGAGTTGCAAAAATGTGAATATGACTTTCAAAAGGATGAATTTGATTTGGAAAAAGGTGAATACACGAAGGAATGAATTTTTAGTGCGAAACCCGTAGAAATCAATTTTTCGAACCGATCAGGGTGGTCTATCCCCATGAGCAACTGCGAATGCAGCTAGCAGCTTTTTTTAAATAATTCGGCACAGTCTTAGCCATCGATCTTTAAGGTTTCGCGATTCTCGCTCGGAAGAACGCGTCGGGAACGAAACATACGGAACCGAGGGGGGAGGAAACGTATCTATGCGATGCACGCGACTAAAAGAGAAGCTAGAAGGGTTGCAAGGAGTCTGAGGGGCGGGTGTTTTTGTCGGAAATTGCGGCTTATTCTCACGCGAAGCGGAAAGATGATTCGATCTGCACGGTTGCTTCTCGCTGGTGGCTTCACCGACAGACAGAACCGTCTGATTTGCGACTTCGCATCGACAGACAATAGATCCGAGGATTATGCTGCGCGTGAATTCGGTTTGCATAATGCCGAAACGGCGGAACGGAGGCTGCTTATGGAAATTCGAATTCTAAACAGCAATTTGCGTGTTTTAATATTTAACCGGGCTCTCGTTGCAACGCCACTATAATAATCTAAACGATATCTCTCGCAATTAACAACCAATGGAAAGCAATTAACTATAGCCGCCGCTCACTTTCTCTGAAATATCATTTCGAATCGATACTAACATCGTAGATTCCTTCGTTCGACCACAAACGTTACGTTTCTATTAACTTTTCACGATCGTGTGAAACATGCTTGTTTCGAACAGCTAATAAAAGTAGGTTAAAAACAGATTCGATAACAGCAGAAATCCATAGCATTCGCGAAGCAAGTATGTGCTTTCTTTTTCATAATCATTAAAACCTTTCACGGTTCTAAAGTAGTTTAATTTATTAAAATCGTAACTCTGCACTGTTGCTACAGCCGTAGACACATTATTTCCATTAATAATGGAACAGATACCGAAATGGAAAATAATAAATGAAATGGAAATTAATAATCGTAGAAGTAACATTTACTTTGCTGCAATGAAACCAAATTGAATTAGAACAAACCAAATATTTCAAATATAAAATTTCCTTCGAATAAAACTCTTAAAAATCATTATCAAGCTAAAATGAATAGACGAGTTCGGCTATAATCATATAATTAGTATCGAATAAAACTTCAGTTATCTCGGAAACAACGCGTGATAGGTAAAATGTTCTCGTATCATTCTGATTGAGCTATTCAAGCAAATGTCGGTAGAGCTTCCATTATTAACTTCCGAATGCATATATTCGGGATATTCCGAGTCACCTGTTCGCCGTGCAACAGTCGGGGAACATTACGTCGTGGTATATAGTCGATTATCCAGAGGCCAAGAGCTAATTGGGAACCGCGTTTTCACATCCGCCCGACAGATCCCGTCACTCGTGATGGACAATGAAGAACTACGTGCTTTTCCCTCTCGGCCACACCACGTATTTTACGTCCACGAAGGTCCGCGAACTTGCAGGACACGTTCGTTCGTATGACGGATCGTCCGACGACGTATAGGCCAGCTATTATAGATGGGAAATACGAACGAAGGTGTCCGTCAATCGTTCATCTACGCGATATGCGATCGCTTCGACGACGATATCGACATCCAGGATTACGCGAAGACGTGTAATTTGAAATGTCTTCGAACGCAACTCGATATTACATCGGCGCGAAATTAGTTGCCGATTGTTTGCTGCTATTTTAGAATTCACTATAACATTACGTAAATCAACCGTATTCTCGTATGTCGCATTACGTACAATCTATTTAGATCAGTCGAGATATATTACAATTGGGCGTATTTTAGAACCATAGTGACGTATCTTTTTCACATTTTCCTCATCTTGAGAAACAAGGATTATTAGTGCTGATTAATATATGTATTTTGTTTACTGGACAAATTTATTCTTCAGATAATTTTGAGTTCAGTTAATTTATAGTAACTCTATAAATTGTTTCACTTGTCTTTTGAACATTTTGGCATTTACATATAGAACATTTTCAGAGATAAGTCAAAACTTTTTCGAAAGTGAGTTTTAGGACGTTATGATCCTAAACCACTCAATTGTTCTTCGATACCAAATAATTGCGAGACTAGTCCTGAATATAATGTAAATCAGACAAATACTTATTTTTGCAATCCGTTTTGTTGCTGCCTCTATTTTATTGCATCAAAGGCCAATCTCAAAATTCATGTCATTATCGAAACCCCTTTTATCCAACATTACATAATTCATACATGCAACACACCGAATGAGACAATCTCCACGCAAACATGAAGATATCTGTACTGAAATAAGAACGATTTCTACGATGATTCGTTTTATACATTTACTTGTCAAATAATCTTTAGGTAAATTTTTTATTTTAAGCAGAGGTAATATAAAATATTGTACGTAATATCTACGCTGCGCGGATTTCGATGCATTTCTAATTCACGATTAGACAGCGGATTTTTAATCGAACATCCATCCATTTAGGAGTTTTGAAAGCGTCAAAATAACGCGAAAATTTTAATTGTCTGCTAGAGAACTTTTTATCGTAAGAAAAGTATAAAAATACTATCGATAACGCGCATCTCGTACCCTACAAAACTAATTGTCCCAAAAGAATGCATAAAAATCCGCAGCACACTTCGACGAACAATGAAGCACAAAATTTGATACACTCCGATAAGACTTCAGCTTATGTTTATTCAACGTAAACCATTTTTATAATAAATACAATTATAGTTGATCACACCCTTATCACAATTATGTACAAAAAAAATGAAGATTTGCACAAGTAAAACACGAGAAAGTATAATCATTTCGTTCATACTTATCTTAGGAGGGGTGACAAGGTTCCAATAAAAGACATATAGCGTACTGTCGACGAAAGCAAACGATATTTTATTGACGTTCTCGAGGCGACAGGATAGCAACTCGATGACAGGCGGCACCGCGATTAGGCGCGGGCCGGACTTGAGTATTACGAAAATGAAAAAAAAAGAACAACGGGAAAGTATTGCTGCAGGACGGCCTATGCTCGAAATGAAGAGGTCGACGACAGTGTTAGTATCGTTTTCTTATTTTTTTATTTCTTCCTCGACGACGAACTATGACGCGAATACATGAGCAGCTGCGGCCATTGTCACGGGAAACATCATCGATACGAGGCGACCGGGGACGTTTTAATCCTCGTTGAACTCGAACGGCTCCGGAGGATCCGCTTCCTTCTCTTCGTCCGGTTTCGGGCCGAAAGCTGAAACATAACCGTGATAATGGTCCCCGACATTGTTGATTACTCCTCTGACGATGCAGACGCGCATATCGATCGCGACAGTGACGAAGATGCACTCGCCGGAAACGGGAACGACAAAGTTGCCAGCTTGTTTTGTAACAGCACGACGGAATTGCGTCGCTTTCGATCGACTATAATGCTTACCGTTCGTCGAGCGGTTCGTCAAAAATGCACCCGGCGAATTAATAAAAAACGAAACGATTCTATCGGACGGAAACCAAAATTTCTGGATCTCCGAACAGGATATTACGCTGAAACTGACGCAGTATGTTTCTATTTGTTAACGGCTGCATTGTCCGCGCGGAAATATTGCGGACAATAAAGAAGATTGCAACGCAACGAATGCAGTAAAATGCAATTTTAATCATTGCAGTATATTGCGCAGTAATTCCAGTTTTATTGTTCTTTTGTCGTCTGGATTTTATTCTTCGTGATACATTGTATAGACAGGAATGGAGGTAGCCGTGTAACTGCACAATTTAATGGTATTGCATGTGAAACAATAATGCGATCCGAGCATTAATTAATCAGTTTGTCTTGAAAATGTAATGTCAAGTAAAAATGTCGTTTCTATCGAGACCTTCTTACACGTCGTGCGAATTCGTTTCAAATCTGTTGCGAATGAATTTATATTCAAAGCTGGTAATAACAATAGATCTTCGGTCTTTTATCACTGAATTTTGATAAATGTTTATAACACCGGAGAATCTTTCATTACGGTTACACTTTTATTACGGTTCCGCGGAGAAAATTAAGTTCTCGGACTACTTGTGCTTCGACCAAACATTTCTAACGGCAAGCTAACCGTAATTAACAAACTCCAAATTTTATGCGTTCGTATCAATATCGATCTTCTGAATATTGAGAAAACATTAAGAAAATATTAAGAACGCGTTCGCGAGATTTCGATCGTCCCGAAGGTACGCCGAAGAATTTTCGATTCTACCTTCGTATAAATTAGTGTACGAACATCAATATTTGCGCAAACATCCGCAGCCTAATTATCAGCTTAAATAAGCGTGGCTCGATAGTTCGCGTCAGAGTTTTAAGCAAGATCAATGTTGAACCACTTACCAGCAACTGGCTCCACAAGTTCCTCCTCGGTATCAGGCTGTATATGGTTAACCATGACGATACCTCCTATCTGGAGGTCCTTCACAGAAGCGTAATGGCTGCCATCCACCAGCTGGATCACCTTCAGTTGTTGCCGTAAAACCCGAGCCGGATTTTGAAGTATCTCGAAGTTCGGCTCCACTTCCTTCTTCTTCTCCTCGGTTTTCTCGCCTTTCTCGGCTTTCTCAGGCTCGTCCTTGCTTTTCTTCTCGACTTTCTCCTTCGCCTCCTTCGCCTCCTTCGCTTCCTTCTCCTCTTTCTCCCTTTTCTTCTCGTCGACTTCCTTCGGCGCCGCCGCAGCCGTCGCCGCCGCTTCCTTCACCTCCACGGTCTCTTTTGTCTCCGGCGGATCCTGTTATTGCAGACACGGTGACACGATATTACACGATCACGGTATTACACGATATTAATAAAAATATATGTTCGTTGCGTGGAACGGGATAACCACGTTATCGAAACACGGTTTCACCGTTACCGTTCACGTGCGCTTGGAAGGAGATATTATTACAAATATTATTACACATTATTGTACAAAATTACCGCATACTCGCGCATTGCAATATAGAACTATATTTCTTATAAATAAATTTAATACAATTAAGATATCTATTTACACGTTAGAGATTCTAACGAAAGATGACCGAATGCGTCGCAATAAATATTAATTCGTGCGTCATGGAGATCCTAATAAAAATATCACTTGATGTAATAACATAAAAATAAAGATACTTAATGTAACAACGTAAAAATAAACTTTTGCGTTCTGGACATCTTAACAAAACTATGTTCTATAGATAAGAGCAAAAATTCAATTTTAGAAATGAACTTTCTCACAGAAGTCTTGACGTAACTCTACAGTACATTGAAATAAAGATCAATCTTTTACATCTCACAAATCCTGACAAGGCTCGTTCGATATATCAATATCAAAGTTAATCGATATCTTACAGAACCGCGAACTGAAATCTGGATACATCAAAACAAAAATTAATTTCTGCCTCGCGTAAATCATGATAAAGCTTCACTCAATATATCAATATGAAAGTTAATTATTTAGACTTTTCTGAAGACTTTCGGCTATGCAAACATGACAGAGGATGCAATCAAAGTATTGAAAATGATATAGTGCTAAAAAAGACTGATACTAACCACGTCCATCTTCTCATGAGAATCCCGAGCTTTCCTCTCAACCTCGCGTCTCTTGGTCCTGGCAGCGACACTGAGGACCGCGGTGGTGACCTTCTCCCTTTCTTCGCGTTTCTTCTCTTCCAAAGGCGCTGGATAAGCATAAACGCTTGGCCTAGCATTCGAGCGTATCTCCAGCTTCGGCATTTTCAGCTGCGCGTTTAGAGCGATCAAGCAAGTCGGCGTAAATGCGAGGGCCAAACAGTGGGCCAACGGGAACCAGTACCAGTACTGGGTGAACACCAAAGCACCGACCACCGCTAACATGTTCGTGTGGCCTGTCCTCGATTGCAGGGACACCGTCACGTTCCGACCACCTGAAACAATTGTTGTCGTTACATAGAAACGGTGTTTCATCCTATTTTTCTGCGATAAACGGCGCTTGAATGACGGATACATCGAGATTGCGATGTCGTAACTAATTTTTAAGAATATTGCGACACCACGACTAATTCGTAGATATGCAAATGGCAATTTTAAATACAGTTGCGACATCGCGATTTGTTAAATATGCTAATAACAATTAAATCATTTGTTGTCGTTGAAGAAATAGAGAAATAAATCGACACGAATACCTAACTTTGATTAACCCTAGAAAGATAACCATATGACAACGTACGTAAAAGATAACCATACGCTTCAGAGGCGCATGCTTTTCTAAGGCGTCAATTTTATACTAACAATGGATATTTATTTAAGTTAATCTAGTCATTTTAAAGGTTTGGCATTATTGTACAAATAAAATGCATTTATATTATATTTTTTTATATTTTAAGTAATTTTAAACTTAAATCACTAGACCTCTATGAAAAATTAACAAAAATCAACAGTCTTCGCAGGCGCCTCTGCGACGTAGGTTATATCTTTCTCGGGTTAAAATCACCTTGAACTGGACCTTTTCGCATAATTTCAATACTTATTTGTTTTCGGTTTAACTTTACGACAATTTTGCGAGGATTATCTATTAGCATATATTGCTTGTGTATTTTGATAACAGTACGTTCTTTATAAAAATATTTATAAAATGCGTATGTCAGTGATATGTAAATTAGATTCGCAATTCTTTTCGAGCTTTTTTACCCGGCACGAATACTGTGGATTGTTATAAATGACAGTTGTATATTCAGTTTGACGCAGAAACATTGTCCGGATCTGTAAAGCGTAATATTTTTTGGAACTATCATTTGCAACGGCCATAAACGATAATGAACGTGATAAATCCCATTATTTCGTAGTATAACGTAAAATAACTTCGTAGATCCCAAGAAACTTTAGTTCACTTAATAGATTATAATAAAAAAACTGATTTTCAAGCTCGATGAAAAATTGTATCAGCAAAATAATAAGAACTAAACTTTTACTACGGAATGAGATAGGAAGATTATGATGAGGTCGCTTATGATCCCAGTATGCAGTATACGGTGGAACCTCCGTTGTATAAACGCACGTTATGACAACGTTTGATTATACGAACTCTCTTCCACTCGAACGTTCTACTATATGAACTCTATTTCATTTGAACGTTCTGCTGTATGAACTCTCTTTTATTCGACTATTCTATTACATGTACGTTGGCATGTATCAATCAATATTATACAAATTTTGCCATTGTTTTAAATTGCGTCTACTTATTTTTTTCTCGCGTAAGCGCACAAAATTCACGGTCGATAGAAATAAATAACGAATAAATAATAATAACAATGAACAACGAATTAACCCTTTCGCTACGGGCGGGTTCTCCACCGCGGTACTTCCGCTGAACGGAGCGCCGCGACATCACTGCACGCTACGCGACGCCGATCGTCAGCGGGAGTACCGCGGCGGAGAACCCAAGCTGCTTGAATGTTTTCGTACGAAAAAATTTCTCTCCAAAGGGTATTTATAAATAAAGGGTATTCCAGGGTATTTATAACGTCTTAGCATGCGCTCTTTAATTTACAGTATGAGAGGAAATAACATTATGCAATATAATGCATCTTATGGAAGGCCACTATAGCTGTCTCTTATACACATCTAGATGTGTATAAGAGACAGCCCAAGCTGCTTGAATGTTTTCGTACGAAAAAATTTCTCTCCAAAGGGTATTTATAAATAAAGGGTATTCCAGGGTATTTATAACGTCTTAGCATGCGCTCTTTAATTTACAGTATGAGAGGAAATAACATTATGCAATATAATGCATCTTATGGAAGGCCACTATAGCTGTCTCTTATACACATCTAGATGTGTATAAGAGACAGCCCAAGCTGCTTGAATGTTTTCGTACGAAAAAATTTCTCTCCAAAGGGTATTTATAAATAAAGGGTATTCCAGGGTATTTATAACGTCTTAGCATGCGCTCTTTAATTTACAGTATGAGAGGAAATAACATTATGCAATATAATGCATCTTATGGAAGGCCACTATAGCTGTCTCTTATACACATCTAGATGTGTATAAGAGACAGCCCAAGCTGCTTGAATGTTTTCGTACGAAAAAATTTCTCTCCAAAGGGTATTTATAAATAAAGGGTATTCCAGGGTATTTATAACGTCTTAGCATGCGCTCTTTAATTTACAGTATGAGAGGAAATAACATTATGCAATATAATGCATCTTATGGAAGGCCACTATAGTGGCCCGTAGTACCTCAGTGACATCTTATGGATGGCCACTATAGTGGCCCGTAGTAGCGAAAGGGTTAAGAAAAGATGAACTCACCGGCGTCGATGATGCCTTGCGCGAGAATCGCGCCGAACTTCGCCATGACGTCCTCGTGCTTGTCGACGATGACCTTGGCGTAGAGCGCACGGAAGTCCTTGACACGTGGACAGGTGGCCTCGGTCTGTTGGATCAGGATCATCGCGGACGCGATCAGGGCACCCTGCCGTACGAAGTTCACCGGATCATTGGTCATCGGGTCCAGCAGAGCTATAGCCTCCTTCAATCCTGTTCCGGCGCACGCGATCCCTAAAGCCATCGCCGCTCCGTATCTCACGTGAGGATTATAGCTTTCAGCCAGCAAGGACACCACGCTCGGACATTGTTCCGGCGTTCTGCAACAGAAATACGACGCGAACGGTGAATACACCGGTGGCTTCGGGGTAGGCCACCGTTCCCGGGCGAGATATACACCGGGATACAAATTTCTGGATATTATTGGCCTATGAAATTGCTGATTGCGGATGCCGCGAAAATCCTTTGTTCGGAAAGGGAACGCGACTACAATTATCAACGCTGGCTCTCGTACCTGCGGATGACAAATGCTGCGGTAAACCACTGATAATGCGAAACGGTGGGGGAAAAATGCAGTCTGTTTCGGGCGATTCCGGGGATGCGATCCGGGCAACGCGATCGCGCCGAGCTTCGTTGGACGATCGAACGGAAACCGCACGAAGTGAAATACGAAGACTTGTTCTATTGGACGAACTTCGATGTTTATGTAAACGTTAACAGTCTTCGCGGTTTGGGTAATTAAACTTGTTGTGGAATTATTGTCACGGCATTAAATATAACCTAGAGAGAAATTCGTCACATTTACGCTATGATAATGATTTTCTATTCCAATTTACATCGTTCAACGTTTCTATACAGTTTTAATTCAGGCAATGTTTTCTTGGCTGCGGGTCGAAATCAACCAACATGTGACTGTTAAGAAGACGTTTCCGGTCGTTTTCATTTTTAAAACAGTCTCTTAGCGAATAATAAGATCAGTTTCATTGAGAAAGTAATTACAATATGCCTTCAAACTTCAAACACAGAACTTCAAAATTATAATTCTATTTATTTAGTATCAGGTTACGGAACGCGTGAGCGTTAACAATAGTAATAAGCACTTCAATCATTGGAAGAACTAGAGATATTATTAAACATATGCATTTTCAAAATTCTTTTCTGGAATTTTCGTTAGGTTTGGTTCAGTTTCTGAAACGTGTGTTAGTAATCGTAGGCGAACACTTCCACAGCTCTGGATTATCATCCCCTTTACGAAAAGTAGAGGCAAGAACGCCATTGTCGAGCGACACCTGTTGTACTCGCCTCTAGAGGTCTTCTGAGACCGCGTCTTCCCAGCAACGATTCGTCACTGATTATTATTCATAACTGTGACAAACCGCGGCTTTAGAGCGATGGAACGCAGTAAAGCAGAGAGAAAGGGAGAGCGGAAGTTTGTTTGATAGCTGAAACCGCCATTTCGACGCTACGTCTTCTCTCTGGTTCATAAGACATCTTAATCCTCAGTCCTCGGTTAACGATAAGTGACCCATTAATTTATTTAAAAAAGAAAACGGCTTAAGTGAACGGCTAATGTGCTCGTATTTTAGAAATGGTTTTTTGAGTAGCCTCAATGATGAGTCCATCAGTTTATCTAGGATGAAATGCTTCTATTTAATTCACTTGCGTTGCATTCAATCGCCATCAAAACTTTCCTTGCAACTTTTCTAACATTGTGAACATAATTACTTTGAGCATGCGAACTCATCTTTAACGAGTCATAAAGATTCTTGGACTGTCTGCTGCGCTGGTATATTGTTAATGGTCGGATAAGCTGACATAAAGAATCTTAATATCTTCTACAAAATTAGGACATTATATAGACATTATATATAGACGAAGAATTAAATTAATAGAAGAATTAAATGCGAATTAAATGAATAATAAAATATGAACTATTTGTACAATTAAATATTAATTGAACGGCATTGAATGTATATATAGAAATATGTTGGCATCATATCTGTGACAGATCCAGAGAATCTAGAAAAAAATGAGCAACATCTCGAAACAAAAGCTGACACAATACCGCGATAACTTGAATTTTACGCGTAGCCGTAAACGCAAAATCACCCCCGACAGTTATCCTGCAGTCTCTTGTCCGAGCATCCGCACTAATTCCATCAGCTTTGCCTACCAGAGCAATAAAGCACAGAGCCCCCACCTGTAAGCGTCACAAACAAACGGTACCCAATTCAACCCTCCAACCGTTATGTTAACTAGGTAATTAGCAGTGCCAATGACCCAGAAAACCAATCCCAGAATCCACGATTGCAATCGCAGGACCAAACACAGACGAAACCATTCACAAGGAATTCTAGCGTCAGGTTTGAGATCGATCGGATTCAGAATTTTCATGAACCCTGGTTGTGGAGGCGCAAGTCCCGAGAAACTTCCCCGACATCGACAACTTAACACTAAATCTACCGAGCGCCAAATGCGACTGACGTATGCTCTTCTATGAGAATGACAAGTCTGAATCTAATTGGACATTTCACCGTTTTTATTAGAACGTACGTTTCGGTTAAAAAATTGATTCGATCGTTTCGTATAAAAAGCGCCTTTGCGATGCCAAGTATTTCGAAATAAAAAATGCGAAACGTTGACATGATTGGTACGATAGGCTCTGCGTTGATCAGAGTCGGACACTTTTTTAATAAAATTTGATTCGAATAACATTTCATTTGGAAACTATTTCGAATAAAATTCTATTCGAATAGCATTGCGAATAAATTCCCCGAATAAAATTGGTATTCGAATAACATTGCGAATAAATTCCCCGAATAAAATTGTATTCGAATAACATTGCGAATAAATTCCCCGAATAACATTGCGAATAACTTCCCCGAATAAAATTGTATTCGAATAACATTGCAAATAACTTCCCCGAATAAAGTTCTATTCGAATAACATTGCGAATAACTTCCCCGAATAAAATTCTATTCGAATAACATTTTATTTGAAAACTATTTCGAATAATTCGAGGAATACTTTCTCGAAATAAAATTGAATTCGAAGAATTTTTTCGAACAAAAAGATGTTGTTCAAAGAATTCGTTCGAAACGTCGTTCGAATAAAATTCTACTGAAAGCATGGTAGAAGAAAAACCTGCCTCGAGTAGCATCGAGGACCGACTGCATCGGATAGAACGCTAAGTGCATAATCCTGTTTACGACTGTTGCAGGACGACGATTCGGTACTGGTGGACGGCGCATGCCAGATACCGGACCCGCTTTACAAGCTGATCGGCAGCATAATCTGCTTTTATATACCGCTGGGCGTGATGCTGCTCACGTACGCGTTGACGGTCCGATTGCTGGCGGAACAGAGACAGAACATTGGGGGAACGCCGGGAGGTTGGTACTCCGGATGGCTAGGTGGCCCGCAGGGACCACCACCGGGAGGTTAGTGTATTATCAGGTACACTGACCTGTTACATTTCTGAATGAACCGCGAACGACGGTCACGCGGGAAAACGGTCGGGATGCTCGTTTCCTTTATGGCCACTTTTTCCGATGCGAGAGAATTTACCGACTGGTTCCGTGGGACTTTTGTGCCGCGAACGCTATCGAAATGCGATCTGCACCGAGAGATATTAACCCTTTGCACACTAAGCTATTTTAACTCTAAATCTGAGACATTCTTTTACAGTATTTTCATTCGATGTGGCTTATTGCAGTTTATTCGGAAGATGTGTATAAGAGACAGCAATAGGCCCAATTTCGTCCGAATAAACTGCAATAAGAGATGTGTATAAGAGACAGCAATAGGCCCAATTTCGTCCGAATAAACTGCAATAAGAGATGTGTATAAGAGACAGCAATAGGCCCAATTTCGTCCGAATAAACTGCAATAAGAGATGTGTATAAGAGACAGCAATAGGCCCAATTTCGTCCGAATAAACTGCAATAAGAGATGTGTATAAGAGACAGCAATAGGCCCAATTTCGTCCGAATAAACTGCAATAAGAGATGTGTATAAGAGACAGCAATAGGCCCAATTTCGTCCGAATAAACTGCAATAAGAGATGTGTATAAGAGACAGCAATAGGCCCAATTTCGTCCGAATAAACTGCAATAAGAGATGTGTATAAGAGACAGCAATAGGCCCAATTTCGTCCGAATAAACTGCAATAAGAGATGTGTATAAGAGACAGCAATAGGCCCAATTTCGTCCGAATAAACTGCAATAAGAGATGTGTATAAGAGACAGCAATAGGCCCAATTTCGTCCGAATAAACTGCAATAAGAGATGTGTATAAGAGACAGCAATAGGCCCAATTTCGTCCGAATAAACTGCAATAAGAGATGTGTATAAGAGACAGCAATAGGCCCAATTTCGTCCGAATAAACTGCAATAAGAGATGTGTATAAGAGACAGCAATAGGCCCAATTTCGTCCGAATAAACTGCAATAAGAGATGTGTATAAGAGACAGCAATAGGCCCAATTTCGTCCGAATAAACTGCAATAAGAGATGTGTATAAGAGACAGCAATAGGCCCAATTTCGTCCGAATAAACTGCAATAAGAGATGTGTATAAGAGACAGCAATAGGCCCAATTTCGTCCGAATAAACTGCAATAAGAGATGTGTATAAGAGACAGCAATAGGCCCAATTTCGTCCGAATAAACTGCAATAAGAGATGTGTATAAGAGACAGCAATAGGCCCAATTTCGTCCGAATAAACTGCAATAAGAGATGTGTATAAGAGACAGCAATAGGCCCAATTTCGTCCGAATAAACTGCAATAAGAGATGTGTATAAGAGACAGCAATAGGCCCAATTTCGTCCGAATAAACTGCAATAAGAGATGTGTATAAGAGACAGCAATAGGCCCAATTTCGTCCGAATAAACTGCAATAAGAGATGTGTATAAGAGACAGCAATAGGCCCAATTTCGTCCGAATAAACTGCAATAAGAGATGTGTATAAGAGACAGCAATAGGCCCAATTTCGTCCGAATAAACTGCAATAAGAGATGTGTATAAGAGACAGCAATAGGCCCAATTTCGTCCGAATAAACTGCAATAAGAGATGTGTATAAGAGACAGCAATAGGCCCAATTTCGTCCGAATAAACTGCAATAAGAGATGTGTATAAGAGACAGCAATAGGCCCAATTTCGTCCGAATAAACTGCAATAAGAGATGTGTATAAGAGACAGCAATAGGCCCAATTTCGTCCGAATAAACTGCAATAAGAGATGTGTATAAGAGACAGCAATAGGCCCAATTTCGTCCGAATAAACTGCAATAAGAGATGTGTATAAGAGACAGCAATAGGCCCAATTTCGTCCGAATAAACTGCAATAAGAGATGTGTATAAGAGACAGCAATAGGCCCAATTTCGTCCGAATAAACTGCAATAAGAGATGTGTATAAGAGACAGCAATAGGCCCAATTTCGTCCGAATAAACTGCAATAAGAGATGTGTATAAGAGACAGCAATAGGCCCAATTTCGTCCGAATAAACTGCAATAAGAGATGTGTATAAGAGACAGCAATAGGCCCAATTTCGTCCGAATAAACTGCAATAAGCCTGTCTCTTATACACATCTACACTAAGCTATTTTAACTCTAAATCCGAGACATTCTTTTTCATTATTTTCATTCGATGTGGCTTATTGCAGTTTATTCGAATAAAATTGGGCCTATTAACATAAATTTTATGACAAAGAATTGTATATTTTTAAAAATATATTTCTAAATTATATATTATATTACGATAAAAATTATGGCAATAATTGTTCTTGGTACAGAAACTTCTCGCGGTGTCTCGGAGTCACCACTCGCGCGAATGCAAAGGGTTAACTGCGTCACCCTATTTAATATAATCACGTTACGTAGTTCACTCGTATATCAATTTTGGAAATTGAATTGAAAAGCTGCTTTTTTATCAGTTACAAAGGATTCCAGTAATTTCCATTCTTCCGTTAAATAAACATTTCCGACCTTTTTCTCCAGTTGCTCTTCATATTCATCATCATCATCATCATCATCATCGTCATCGTCATTGTCATCGTCATCATCATCATCATCATCATTATCGACCATTCAGGATAGAACAATGAACGAATTTCGCTCTGTCAAGCAGACATCGCTTTGCGATTGTGTCGCAGTAACATTGTCGGAGGAGTGCGTCAAACCTTTCTACCTAGAAACGAAATTCTAACATTCCGAGCTGCGAGGAAATAAATATTTACGAAGTACACAGAATTGTTTTGGTTGTTGTTTACCGTAGGTAAGATAAAACCGATCGTGAAAGGAGCTCGACCGGTGGAAATCGTAGTTAGAATCAATAATGTAAAGGGGGAGAGGGTAGTTTGATGAGAGAGAGAGAGAGAGAGAGAGAGAGAGAAAAAGAGAGCCGAACGCTTCGAGGCGAAGGAGAGCGTTTTAAAGCGAGGTTAATCCACGGGGCTCCTTTGTGCTGGACGGGATACTACCGAGAGCAGCTTGAAATTATTTCTTTCGGGAACAGTAGATTGAACTGCGGAACGAAAAAGCTGGTTTGCCGGTTCACGAAAGATGGTGCACGCTTATGCAGTCCCGCGTCATCTCTGTCAGAAAAGTAGTTCTAACGCGTTCAAAGTTTGACCCGTCGATCCGTTATGGCTGCGAGGAAACTCTTGGAAATTCTCGTGATCCCCGGAAAGGAGAAGCCTGGCTTCTTCATTGAACAGGAATCTTTAAGATGATACTTTACAAAGCAATAGTGTGTGCCGAAGGGAAAAAATGACAAAGGGACGCCATGAATTTTAATAAACCGTTCTAATGCTTCGACTTTCTCAAAGGATTTTTGCCGCCATAAAGTATTTCAAACGGTTTCTTTGAATCATCTACTTGACATCTTACACAATAAAATGAAGCAATAATTTCTTCGTTTGCGATCATCTATTTGACATCGGATAAAATACAATCAATATGAAGCATGTAATTATTTCTTTTCTTTAAATCACCTATTCGATTATCAAACTGAAATAATAATCTCCCTCCTTTTAATCATCGTATTTAATTACTAAATATTCATATTTATTTGTAATATTATTATATTATTATAATTATTATTTTATTATAATATCATTTATTTATAATATTTAAATATTCCTTTTAATCGTCGTATTAAACAATTCACCTAATCGCTCGATTTCTGTTTTCAAGTTTGCAAGCGAAACGATTTTTTAAAACACTGCACACGAAGAAGTGTGCCAAGGCGAAGGATAAACGAAAATGCATCGTCGGAGAATTGATTTGACTGATCTTTGGCAGGTAAATAAAATGAATTCCGTCGCGAAAATTTCGCGTTTGTTACGACGCGGACCGATGCCGGTGCCATAAATCCAGGAAATATGTTGCGTAATAAATATCGATAATTTAGTGTCGAGCAGTCGCGGCGCCCGAACGTGCATAAATAAAAAGGCGAATAAATCGTGAAGCGGCGCGTTCCGTCGGTCGCGCTCGCGGATCCGTTACAAGCACTGATAAAAATCGACCGTTAAAATGAGATCCGCCGCGATACATTCCCGATCACCGGACAGGCTATTGTGGCAAGTAACGTTTCATTTCCGGTATATCGATAAAGCCCGCCGCGTAGGAGGACACGGTCTTTGAAGCGTCGCGGAACCCAATAATCCTGGTAATCGATCGATTTGCCCCGGCAGAAATTGTCCGGCCGCTTTGTCGCGATTTTTCCGTTCGGGGGAGACGATCTTGTTCGCGGGAACCGCTTCCGTTTTCAAGAGAGTTCAAAGAAATCGCCGGCGTGAACGGAGGGGACCGGTGTAAGTCGATTTGCGGCGGCCAATTCCGATATCGATGCGATGTGCTCGCGGGTCCAAAGAAAATTTGTCTTACAGTTCCTTGGAATTCGATGGGAACGGAACGTTCGCTACGCAATATGATTTCAATTTACTTGTCAGTTACTGGATGAAAAAACATTGCTTATTTATTTTTTAAAGGATTTTTTCGCATAATAGCACTTTGTGTAATAGTTGAAAAAATAGAGGCATTAATCGACAACGAATAACGAGCGACAGAGGGGAAATGGGCGGAGCTTATACCGCTTACTATTTCGGGAGACTATTGTTTCAGGATCAAAATCGATATTTTTCACTAAAATCAGTATCGATTAGATTTGGCAGTAATTTTAACAACGTAGTTACCGATACTTTGCAGCCACTTATAATCAATGGTTTTTAGCTCCTCCCAATAATTTCATTTCAGTTCTCTTTAATTCCTTTTATTAAGTCATTTTTTCCGTTTTTCGTTTATTTCCTCGTGTCCTCCTATTATTTTGTTTTTCACTTTTCTCAGTAAGTTTCTACAGGTTTTTTTTTTAGTATTTCTGCCTGGCTCCTCCCACTGACTCTATTTAACTCCTCCCACAAATGTGATATCGTGACTAT